GCATTAATATTATTTTGTTAGTTCGTCATCCTTAGATATGATGAGTGAAATATTCCAAGAAAACTGACATGGTAATTTCTGATATTTGATTTCTTGTGCTGCTTAGTTTTCTTTAATAAATTAAAATAAAAAATAAAAATTAACATATTTTCACTTTGTTCTTTGTGATATGTTTGTTCTCTTCCTGTTGTTTTGGCACTGCGCCTTGAGCACCTATTTTTGGTGGTGATGTTTGCGCTTTAAAAATCGTTATTATTATTATTATTATTATTATTAATATTATGAGGGAATTGGAAATGGATGGAAGGTGGTGATTCTTTTAGCGGGAGGTTAGACACTTAGGATATCAACACATTTCACTCCTTCATTAATGCAATAAAAAATGATGTCCAAAAGTTTTCTGGTTCGTTCCCAATCAAATTTTCCTCCACCATAGATTAGCTTTGTGGAAGCTCAATACAATTCTTAAGGCAAATAATAAAAGGAAGATCATCAATTCATATAACTTAATTCCAAAACGTCATAGAAAACCCAGTCGGCCTCACTGCACTTTTCACATCAACACCGAATAATAAAAAGTCTGTGCTTTTCAAACAAATTCTAATAATCTAATTATGTCATTAAATGGTGTATTGCGATGGTATTTTTACGCGCTCTATAGAAACAGAAAGTCTAATATTTTCTTGGGCCAAAAGTTATACGTTGTCTTTAATTATATTAATAACCAAACAAATACCGCTACATACATTTGCCTTGCCCCACTTCAAAATACCATATTTTATTATAATACATTTCCATTTATTATTAATAATGCTAATTAATGGCACTTTCCACCTAACATTAACAATATATTTGGCTTAGCTATCTATTCAATGACATGCAACATATACCTACATAAACATATATATAATGTCTGGATATAGCCGAAATAAAAATAAATCAATAGATAAATCCGGTCATTAATTATAAAACGTTTGACTTACCACAGAATACTAATATTATCAGACTGTTTAGAAAAGCAATCAGGGGAATGTTGGAGTTAATGAAGTTGCACGGAGTTGCAGGGCTTAGCTTGAAGCTGGATCGTAAATCCGGTACAATCCGTCAGTGGTGAAGAAAAAGTATTGAGTGCGACGCGACAAATCGTCAGCTTACTTTAAAATTGAAGTACTGTATGATGATAATGATGATGATGATGAGGGACACGTCCGTACTGTCATGCGTACAACAGCATCCACGCCATCGTCGTTAATCCATTAACTACTTGGCCAGCCGCGGCTTACCACTTAATAAGTATGGAAGGCCAACCAACACAGTCACACCTTCTGGTCTAAGCTTGACCATGAATTAAAGGTGTCATTCTTGTACCTAATTTACATTCTGAATATATTACAAACATTTGTGAGATCTTATCAGTTTCATTAAGACGTCTTAATACTATGAACCATTATTTACTATATGCAAAATTAATACTAAACTGGTTAAATCATACATAGGTAGATTAAACGCAGACACGTTCACAGTATATCAAATACGACTTTTCACATCCTAATCCATTTACACCGAATGTAGTATCAATATTTATCTTGTTGAAAGTAGGCCAATATAGTTGGTGTGTGACTGTAGTTTTCTGTAAACCATAAAATACAGACACGTACCGCAAATAATTACGTTGTTAGATCAATTGTTAAGCTCGTGTTAAGTAAAACTTAAGAAGTCACATCCGAGCAATAGATATTGACCTATAAGTTAAACCAGGGAGTTATAATAGTGAACAACTCCCTGGTTAAACCAGGTTAAACTATGTGGTTAAACATAATGTCTAGCATCACATGGTATTAGTATCCTATCAATATTATCACAAATAAGATGGTTGGGAATTTTAAAACTGTTGACGTTCAAAATGCACAAAGTCTCAGTTAAAATAAAAGAAAGAAGTCAGGCCTAAAGGATGATACAATACTACTGTTGTGTAGGTATACCCAAGATGTATAGGAAAATGTACGATTTGGAATATTATTTAGGTTTCTTTTTGTTATATATAGGCCTAAAGCAAAAATCATTGAGTCACTTATAAATATACATTTTTTAAGGTAAAGCCGCATGAGTTACGATCGAGACGTTGAGAAGTTTGAATGTTAGTTGGTTGAGTATTATTAGGCCTATATGGACCTCTATGTTTATAAGTATATTGATGAATGAACGTGGCTACTTTACACTGCGCTTAGCATACACACCATTCTACTGGCCTACGATTATGTTCTTCATAAAACCAGTAAATATCTTTC